TTATTTGAAGTCCTCAAGGTACTATCACTTTCTTGCTAAAAAGAATGCAGTAACAGCAGCAAGAACTAGAGAATCACAAGGCAGATGAGAGCTTTGTACCCAGACCTTCCCCAGGGCAGTATTAGGATGAGGCAGATAAAATAGAACTGGCAGGATTTTCTGTCAGCCTTTTCAAGAAGTGCAATTTGCAGGCTTCCTGCCTCTAAAATGTTAAAGGCAGAGAAGAGAAGAGCAATGAGCAGACAACCTTCGAAAGAGCCACCAGCAGGAAGTGCGCCACCAGTGGGGAAGTCTCTCAAGGAGCCCATGAGGAGGCATCCGGGGGCTGGCTTCCCAACGGGGGCATCGCCATGGGAGCTTTGTGCCAAACAGCATCCTGTCATCACTCCTACTTCCTATAGAATCTCATCCTTGCACAGAGTTCTTAGCTGCAAAAGAGGATCTATATTGTGAAGCTGTCTAACAATCTTGATCTGATTTAGGAATACTGAGAAGACTTGCCAGGGAGAGTGATGATTGTAAGCTGTGCATCAACACAAGGATGTTGAGTTTGCCTTCGAGGAAAGATGCTGCTCTTCTAGGGACACACCAAAATGTGAATAGGAAGATGACGGAAATTCGAAGTTGGAATCAGTGGGTCCCCTACCTCTCCCTTCTCAAACCCATCTGTGGGTTAGGAATCCTCAGCAGAGTTGTGAATCACACTCTTCAGTGTCCCTGCTGAGATTGACTTTATTGTCTGTTGGAGGGCATGTCCCTCATCCAGCTTGGGCGCTGCAGGCTCCCAAGGAAGGCTTCAAAGATGATCTGACAAGTCCTGGAAAACTCACAGCAACACTACCCTATGTAGTCACATCCTTTGTAATCGACTGTATTTTTATCTGTGTTCTTCTAATAGCAGCTAAAGGCAGATGGCAAGAAAACTAGCCTATATGAGAGATGTCTCAAAAACTAGAAACCGGCCCTCCCTGGTGGCGCAGCAGGTTAGAGCGCAGCCCTGAGAAGCCACTTCAGCATGAGTTTGATCCCCGCCTGCCCCGGAGGTGACCACATGGCGCAGCAGACCTCTCCTGGCCCACCCTCTGCTCCCCTTGGCAGTGCACTTCGTCAGTCTGCCTGTTCTGCTCCCCACTCTGTCTCTGGTGAATCTTCTCACCACCCCTGCACTTCTGGCCTGTACCCCAGTTCTGTATACATAAATAAATAAATCTTAAAAAAAAAAAAAAAAAAAAAACTTCAGGAGCGGAACATAGCAGGAAGAGGAAGTATTGACAGCCCCAGGCCAGGTTATGACGGAGTAGAAGATGAGGCCCGGAAGCTGCTAATCCATCTTGAGCAGAGAGGAGCATTGGGTTGGTGTTTCTCGGGCTATATTTATGTAGCCTGGAAGTGGTCTCATATATTTAAAATAATTTTAGATCAGGACTGTCTGCCTTGTTTTCTCAGTCAACCCAAATCCTTCTCTCATCCCCTCTCTAATGTTTCTACTCCTCCAGTGTCTCCCTTCAGCTTGTCCCTGATATATTTACCTGTGTTGTTCACAAACCAAAACCTTTCAAAAATAGCATCTGTGGTTGTTACAGAGGGTTAGTAGAACTCCCTGTCTGTCTCTCTCTCTTAACCCACTGTTGGAGAAAGCTGCTGCAGCTTTCTCTCATGTGACAGGTTCTCAATTCTGTGATCTAACACTCAAAAGAAGCCTTGGGTCTGAAGACAGACATGGAAGTCAGTGCATCTTATTTAGGTGCTATGGAATTTATTAAAAGACATTGACTCATTCTACACAAAAGAGTCATGCCCTCTTAGCAGAGACAGTAACAGGCAAAAGACCTTGGTACTGTTCCCTTCTTTGTAGGGGAGAACTTTTCTGCCAGAGAATGTAGGCTTAATTAACACATTCACTAGAATGGCTGTAAGTCGCAGTTTTCTGCTTACCTTGGTACAACAGCAGGCTGGACAATTAACTTCTCAGGGAGACAGTGTTTGAAACAGTAGGTAGTGTATATAGTGAAGCTTTGTCTAGTTGTGAGTTTGTAAAACTCTAGTGGCAAATCCTTGGTATTTATAGGTTTCCCTTTTTGTTTTTCCCATAGCTATGGGATCTATGAAAGTAAAACATACTCTTCTAATAAATTACTGTTGTCCATCCATTAAGAAATTGATGACCTTTACTCAGTAGCTTCACTGCTAGGGGATCAGAATGTTACCAAGCAGGTAACTTCTTACTTAATCACCAACGCTGTGCTAGACCCAGAATAGATACAGATGGATGTGATTCCTGACATCTGAAATTTCTTTGATCTTATAAAAGAGACAGGGAATGGCTTCAGATATTTTACAGTGACGTGAGATAGAAGGAAGTTCTGCACTAGAGAACTAGGAGTGTTAAAGCATAACGTGTGGTTTAGTACCATATGTTCTCATACCATAGTTCTTTGGAAATGAGCTGTCTGTGGATTTTAGTGTGTAAAGGTGTCATAGAGAAGGTAGCCTTGGTCTGGGCCTAAGAAGACTGCTGCTGAAGAAGGAGTTCTGGACGCCATGTCTGTAGAAGTGGGGGTGGCACCAAGGACGACAGGGGTCATGCCCAGGTGTGAGTGAGAGGATGGAAAGGCTGGTCCACCAGCCCCAGAGGGAGGGACCTTTCCAGAGAAGAAACTGGAAAGGATGTTCCTGAGCTGACTCAGAGAGGCTTGGTTTATTGGACTCCTTGGTATACCCCCTGCTTGCAGGGCCCCCAGATACTCACAAGTAACAAGACAGCCCCCTTGAAGAGGGTAAAATCAAATGTCATGGGACAGACCTGGCAGGTCCACAATTCCTGAATCTAAACCTAGGGAATCAATTAAAAAAGACGTAGAGGGGAAACTAACGCAGAAATGCTGGCCCCCAACAAATCCTCAGCTCTGTAATTCCTTGTGGGTGCCAGCATGGCAGTCCCCTGGTGCAGCATGGGTAGCTCGGGGTCCAAGGAGGATTAGCAGGACACAGTGAGTCTGCCATTGATACACGGCATTATTAGTGATTTCAAGCTGCCCTGATCTCGTTGCATTTGCATAAATCTCTGTGCATAAATGTAGATATTAGCATATATTTATACATGGATATAGGCACATACAATGGTGTGAGTTCTGCTTCCTTTAACCTCATGGGAAGACATGTAGCTCTGAGTTTAAGTAACAACAGAGCAAGAGGAGTGGGGGACGTGGACACTCTGGGTGTTCAGGACACGCTGGCGACAGACACAGGACATGTGTCCTGAAGATGTGTGGGTTCTAAACTCAGAGGGAATGCATTGTCCATTCTCTGTTAACTCTCTGGGGGAGCACTCTCCCCATCTCTCTTTGGCACTTAATTAATCAAGCATACATTTCCCCAAAGCAAAATGGGACAGAGAAAATTTATAAAACTTAAAAGAAAAAGCCACTGATTCTCCTTGGCCAAACAGCCATTTATTGTGTAGGTTAGAGCTGACTGAGCTGCTCACTCTGGTAGTCAGATCTTTCACCTTTTTTGGCCTTAGGCTATGTTTTGTTACCATGGATTCAATGCCATAAGAATATTTGCTCACTTTGGGGGCTTTGACCCTCGGATATGCCTCTGCTTTTGCAGAGTAAGTCACCTCTGTGGTCATTTGACTCACCGGGGATTGAGTCTGGGGGAAGAGGCCAAGGCTGGGCCCCCATGGTGCTCTGGATAGTGTGACTCATCATCATCTACTGTGAGACTCAGCAAACTTGATGATGGAAGATCAGAGCTGAGTGGGTCAGAGACCAGGCACGTAGCACAATGAGATGATCCACATGATGTATTTCCAATCAGTTGTCCAATGCTGTGGGAATCAGAGTGCCCAGGACAATAGGGATTTCTGGGATGCTGTCTGAGGATACTTCTGGAAGCCCAGAAAATTCCATGACCCCAAGGAGGTCTAGAGATGAAATGTGGAACACTCATCTGTAAAGATGATTGGAGAGGACAGTGTGTCACACAAGCAAAGAAGAATAGGTCTTAAGAGAAGAAAGACTTTTGGAGGTAGCAGAATCTAATGAGAGCTAGACCTTGTTCTGTCTATGCAGCTGCCTTGGAGAGTACAGAACCAGTGTAATAATGAACTTGAAACCTTATCAGCTTTATGGCTATCTGTAAAATGGCCCTAGTTACATCATGTATCACAGGGATGGTGAGTAGACTGACCAAATGATACATAAGAAGCACTTGGAACACAAGTGTTGGGTCCATGTAAACCATTTCATTATAGCCTGAAGTTCTGCTGATTACTGTTGAAAAGACCAAATTGATCCTTCTTGCCTGCAGGATCAATTCTGGGCTCTTTAACTTGTCATTCAAAGTCCTTTCCAAGATGCCCTCAACACTTCCATCTAAACTTATCTAGATAAGTCAGGCTTCTTCATATTCCATCCCAGACATGTCACCACTTTGACCCCTGTTATTCCCCATGAGATTGATGCCTGTCCTGTTTTTGTCAGTTTGAGTGCTGTCATTCGTTCGGACTCCGAGCTGAATCTGCACAAACCTGCTAAGTATCCCTGATTGATCCCCAAGTCTCTTTCCCTGCATATTTTATCACTGGCTGCCTTATGCATTTCTCATTACTTTGCCTAGGTCCAGGCCTTGCTGTCTGCTCCTGGACAGGAAGGTCTGGAGTTTGCACTGCTTTGTACCCCACATGGCAACCTGCATATGCTGGGTCTAGTGGTGCAGGGGCTTTGCCACCAGGCAGAACGGAGGATAAATCACAGTTCCTGCTGGTGCTTAGTGGACATGTGATTTCATGTCCAAGTCCTTTCATCTTCCTGACTCAGTTTCCTCAACCATCAAAAGAGTATATTAATATCCTCTCGCAGAATATATGTGAGGGCTGGGGACGATACTTGGTGGGTGCTTCATAAACATGATTATTGTTACTGATCCAATGAGTGGAGTTTGTGTATTCCATATACCACGGTGTCATGGTGCTAAGTTATTTTTCTTCTCTGCAGTTATACAGCTCTGCTGAGTTTGGGAGAAGGTGGCAGCTTATCCAGGAAGGGGTCGTACCAAACAGATTCTATTGGTAAGTCTACCTTTATTCTGTGCTAGAACCTAGTAAGCGAGTATTGGGCTCTTTTATCACCTAAAACTCACACAGGAGATGTGTTTTTATTGGTAGATGTTGACACTTCCCAAAAGCAGGGCATGAGGTTGGAGTTGTAAACCTTTTAAGAAATTGTTAAAGTCGGGTCACACATTACTTGACAAACACGAAATAAGTCACTGAGATAAGGGAAGCTGGTTTGTTATATTTTGATGACACTTGTGAGACAGACACTTGAAACAAATTTAATAGCGGTAGTGATTGTTATTGCTAAAAGCATTCTATACTCTCATATTACATGTTCAAATAAATAGTTCTTATTTATTCTAAAAGTAGATCTTCCTCACACTCCTGATTTCCCATCTTCCTAGTTCCTATGGGGCACAGTTTAATGTTCTTAAGTTTCATACTTAACATTTTGGAAATGATCTGTGAGCCATGGTGTGGAGGGAGCGCTATGCATAAGGTGTCAAGTGTGTAGGTAACATAGACTGAGCAACTCACCATGCTAGAGACCAGAAAGTCCAAGTCCTGTTGGGAGCCAGTTCCTGGTGGCTTCTCAGTCTCCAGAACTAAAAGTCTGTTGTTAAATCAACCAGTCTAAGGTATTTTATTTAGCAAATGGATTTAGCTTATCAATCCCATTTGAAATTAGAGTCAAATCCCTGTCATGAGCTGTACTTGCTTTACCCTAATGTGCTTAGTCTGTCTTTGGAAAAGACATTTAGGTTATTTCTGAAGCTTTGCTACTATAAACAGGGCTAACTAGAGCTTCCACTACAAGAGGTGAAATTCCTTTTGTGTGTGCCACTCAGAGTTCTTGAGGCAGAGACCTTTATGGAGTTGGTGGATTTCCTGCGAGAGCAGTGAAAGGTATAGCCCCCCCACTCCTGAAATCACAGTTTCTCATCAGCCTTGGCCTTACAGTCAGAACTGATCACTAGCCACCTAACAGCTGCCCCCTCTACCTAGATTTCTCACTTCTAAAATAAATGCATTTTTATCTTTCTTATTTTCAAACACTGCCCTAAAACCCCTGTGGGAGTTGAAAGCTAGAGAACATTAGAGAAATCTCTTAAAATGCTTGTGAAACTGCTTGAAAAAGTAAAAGCAAGTCATTTGCAAACAAACTAGCTCAAAGATAACACATAAAGACTTCTGTAAGGAACAATACCCTTTTTTCTCCAGAATAAAGGGACATTCATAACTAAAGGAGGCATCTGTTGCAGAGACACCTATTCTCGTCTCTCCCACTGCCTTGATGCCTCAAAGGTGGCTGGATGCTGCTTTCAGAGTGCAAATTGGCCTCTCTCTTCCCCAAGAATTCAACTCTAGTGGTCACCTAAGTAGCCTTTGTCTGGCCAACGTTCCTTCTCTTACTCGCTTATTCACCGTGTCTCATTCATAAGACATCTTGCATGTCTGCATTTTTGCCTATAAATTATAAAGTCACTTTTTGGAAGGAAGGTTCTTTTTTGTGTGTGTTTCATCCTCTATTTACTGGGCATTATGTGTGCATAGAAAAACAGCTGGAAATAAATGAAAGGGCTCTTGAGGTGAATACTGCCCATCATTACTTTAGTTGTTGCTAAATGCAATCAATTCTTATCTATTCAAAGAATGGAGGTCTTCTCTCTGAAAGCCTGAAAAGCAAAACCCTTGTAACCAAATGTCATAATATTGTCATCTTTATAAACACTTTACACATGAATGTGTATGAATTTTAATCAGTCTGTCTGTTAAGTAAAATCAGCAGTCACCGTCTCCTCTGCCTATGGGTACAGAGAGGCATCGTCTGTATTCAAGCCTCACCTTGTGATAAGCAGTATTGAAGCTTCAGTTATTTAACCCTCGTAACAATTTTATGACGTAATTCTTTCACTATCATCGTCAACAGATGGGTAGCTGTGGCACAGGGAAGTTAAGTAATTTGGCCAAGGTCATACAATTGGAAAGTAGCCAAGTCAGGATTCAAATGTCCAGATATGGGGACTGTAAATCAGTGGACTTGTGTGGCCTTAATTTCTGAGCTGAGTCTCTGAGTCCTGGAAACACAGCCCACGTGGGTAAATGAGAAGAAAGAAAACCCAAAACACCTTTGGCCACTGTGTTTACATATGTACCCCTCCAACTGGGCTTGACAAATGACTCCCCAGGGTTCTTTAAACTTGGCTGGTTTTCCAGAGAAGGCATAAGACCTTGTAAATCATGTGGTACACATTATTGTTGATGAAAATCTCTTGGTCTCTACCCCACATTGTTTTTATTTTCTGACTCTGAGCAACTTTCTGAGGTTGGCAGGTAGAAAAAGTGTCAATCAAAGCAATTTTTATTAGACTGACTCTTGGAAAACAGTCACTTCAAATTACACAGGAATTATAGGCCACTTGGATTTTTCAGCAGGCTTAATTAAAGGCTACCCTGTTAGTCATTTCAGGTTTGGTTGTAGGGTGTGGAGGGGACTGAGGGGAATTTTTTTAATGTTAAATTGAAATGTTAAGTGACCCTGGGTAATAATATAGTATTTCCTTTAGAGAAAAATGAAGATGAATTGGTATCTTTTCCTTATCACGTAGTACACTTGAGAAATAATTTTCATTTCAGCAATAGTAATTCTACCCTGGAAGTAATCAGTGGCAATTGTAAAATAATTATGGAATGTAAGATCTTATTCTTATCACAGCAGTTGCTGTTAGTACTACCATAACTGACATAAATGTGAACTTTCTTTCAGGAGTTCAAATTGATTTACATGCACAGGACATCTTAGCACAATATTGCTCTCATTAGAACAGGCGTCCTTTTTTATTTAACTGTGATAATGATCATAATCTCCACAATGTCAGAAACTGACTAGGTTAAGTGGTAGCACACCTAGAAGTTTAGGGACTCTGGTATGAGTTCTAGGTTTGCTGATTACTAAATAAGGGATCATGGGCAAGTTACTCAACTTTCTCATGCCTTGGTTTTTCCTTCTGCAGAATGATGATGACCAATATCTGCTTTGTTAAATAATGTACTTCATGTGAATTGGTTACATGGCTGGTGCATAAGAATTGTCTTGAGTGGCCACTGACTAAAAATAACATTAATAGTCTTGACTTTCTCAGGTGTTAGTTTGTTTCTCTGCTGTTGGCTTAATTTTCAGTTGTTTTTTTTTTTTCCCATTTTGTGGCAATAATGAACATCATCAGCTTTAGCCCATATAGTCTAAGAACTTAAAAACTTCATCAAACCAGTCTGCTTCTCTTCCATACATTTCCAGAGACTGAATCTGTGTGACCTGGCTTGGGTCAAAGGCATCCAAGATAATGCATTACTCAGCTTGGTCAGGCCTGTATGAATTGAAATAGGAGATGGCGTGGATACTCAGTTATGGTTCAATGTTGGGGTTTCCTGAAGAGAAAAAAAAATAGATCTTGTTTTTAGAAGAAGGAAGCTAGATATTCATTGTAGGAAACATACATTTGGGACAATTAAGCGTCATTTAGATAAAGTTCCATAGTAGGGGTTTGTGTTTGTGAAGTCACTGTAATGACCAGGCACTTGATAGAGAAATCAGATAAAGCAGCAAAACTCACTTCATCTAGCATCACCGGGCCCCGATGCTCATGAAATCACCATGCGGTGTGATGACCTGACCTTTGTTCCCTGCTCCTCTGTGTGAGCTTCACTAGGACACTCCTCTCCGTGGCCTCTAGCAGCCCAGTTCCCAGATTCACTCCAATGGAAAAGAAAACTCCCCTTTGCTCATTGCCCCAGTGACACCACTGAGACTAAGTCTCCAGGGCCCCGATTAGGTAACATGGTGGCATGCAGGTATTTGGGTAGAATCAATTTCAGTAAACCACGTGGGTAGAAACTAAGGGTGGAAAGCTTTTACCCAAGGAAGGGAGACAATCAATGAGAAGGCATCAGCAAGAGTTATCCAAAACAGGTAGGTTTTAGGACATAAACATGGAAAATATATAAAAGAAAAATAAAACAAAACCCTGGATGGTTAAATCATTTTACTTAATGTCACCTATTAGGGAACTCTGGTGCTGGAAAACTTAAACCCAAGTATGGCTGGGTAAAGGGGCCTGTGCTATCTAAGCACCACATCATCTGCCCTCCAGTGTGACGACCCGCCCCAGGTCTTAGTGAAGCTGCCGTGAGGATGCCCCTTCTTGTATTCCTCAGGGCTGCTCCAGTGACAGACGTTTCCTTCTGCTTTCCTGTTCTTCGGGCTGCACACCCAACCATTCAAGTCACATCTGTCTATAAAACCTGCTCAGGGCTCCTCATCTAGCCTCAGGTTTAAGAGTCCGTCTGTAAATGTTAGCCTGTGTATTGGCCTATGGTCAGAAAACACTGCAAGACTTCTAATACTCTCACACTCTGATCCTTACGCATCCTACTACCCTTATGCACATCACTGTTGAGTCAGTTTTAGGGTTATTCATTTTTTATTGTCATTTGTCTTTGTCTAGTTAGTTTTAGTTGCCCTGACTCACCCTCCTTCACACTGGGCATTCTCACAACATCTTTGAGGCGTCTAAGCTACATACACCACCAGGGCAGAGAATGTGGTGTGGAATAGTTGTTCATTTTTTTTTTCTCTTTCCCTGGATGGGTGCAATGAATTCAGTAGCAAGACTGGGGCCTCTGTGCGTTTTCTTTCCTAGATTTCACAAACTGGAAATGGGATGCAATCTGATAATGTTGAGGGGTGAGGGGGGGATTAAAACTATCAAAATACCTAGAAATTGGGTACTTTGTTAGGAAGGGAGTACCGCTGCTTTATGAAGATATCTGCCTCATCCTTCACTTGAAACTCAGAAGCAGTTCATTGTAAGAACTTCTAAATAAACTCCATCACTGGTGTTAATTTCCAGTTAAGCCGGCAGTGGAATACTGCCATTTAGGATGAACTACTATTCTTTTTTTTTTTTTTTAAGATTTATTTGTTTGTGCATACAGAACTGGGGTACAGGTCA